CATTAATGAAGACAAAACAAAATTTATGATGGCATCTAATAAAACTGTTGATTTTCCACCCTTGAAGATAAACAGTTATACCTTTGAAACAGTAAAGAAATTTAAATATCTGGGCACATTGATCACAAGTTGCAGTGATATAAAAATTGAAATAAAGAATAGAATATTTATGGCTAATAAATGTTATTACGGCCTTAACAACTTAAATCCAAACTAATAAGCGTAAAAACTAAATTAAATTTATATAAAACTTTAATAAGACCTATTGCCATTTATGGAAGTCTCTATGCAAAGTCAAATTAACTACTGTATGTATATCTATATTATTATATTCAACAAAAGCAGCTGTATTAAATCGTTACACTTTAATTAAAGAAAACAGCACTTGAACAATATGAGGTTTTCTGGTGATGAAGTAAGAGGAACACAAACAGTAAAGTGTCTTTCATTAAACTCTGATATGTGAAACCCCTTGTTCACTGTTTTATAACGCATTCATTTTCTAGCTTACGAAATCGTGAGTTAAAAAGACGATACTGATTTGTTATTTATTCGAAACCATCAGGAACAGTTTTCCAAAGATTTTTAACACAGGATTTCCTTCATTGGTCTTCTTGTCACTGATCTCACTTCAAAACTATTCTATAACTCGAATGAAAGTGCTATAATTAACATTTGGTTAAAGTCCCTTTCTTCTTATCTGTGGTCAGTGTGGTATAAAATATTTCTTTAATGTAATCAATAATATCTGTAAAATTGAATTAAAAATTTTGCCTATATTTACTACAAAAGGGAACTTCCAAAGAAGTTTATTTTTTTCTAAATACCTTAGTTATATGTTTAAGTGTAAATTTTATCTTTCACTACGTATGCTTTTAAAGTATGTTATTGTTCTTCCAGTACTTACATATTATGCGTCAATTGTAAAACTGTTTCCAGAGAGCGCGATTTAACAGCAACGCACACTCATAACATCCGCTCTTTCGCTTGATGTAACCTTGACTGATTTTCTGCGGAAAGTTTTAATTCATATTATTCCAAACAGATCTTGCGGCAAAATTGGACAGCCTAATAAATCAGTTGAAATCGACAAAAGCTTTTTTACGAAGCACAGAAACGAAGCGGGTCGAATATTTTTGCAACAAAAGGCTATTGGGTGGACAGAGACTGGCGAATGCTTTATTGTAAGAGTTGCAGATACACTCCTGGGAAAATTAAGAGAATTTCTAAAGTAGGCCTATTTTTATAAAAAATAAACCAAAGCATTGAACCAAGGGTACTAATTATGCCCTCGAAAAGTTATGCAAATATTCGAACATATAAGCGTACACGTCCGTGTCTGTGGAGCTGTGATTGTCGAGGGGACATAAGCGCAGTTTACGCCATGCTTATCTCAAGAGTTGGGTTTCAGGTTTTAAATTTTATAAAGTTTCAGGTAAAATGAGTAGCCGCGAAGGTATAGATGACGGACTGAGATGGAGAGTTGTCGGTAGATTGGAGACAGGAAAGTCACAAGCGCAGGTGGCTACTGAGCTCAATGTAACGCCTAATATCGTCGGCAACTTGTGGAAACAGTTCCAGACAGTAAAATCCACATTGAGAAGACGTGGAAAAAGTCTATCCAGATCCACCACGACGAATGAGGATCGTTACTTGGCACCTTTAGCGCCAGGGCACAGGACTACTACAGCTTCCCAGCTCTCAGGTGAGCTGTATGCTGTCACTGGAACCTGAGTTTCACGGTCTACAGTTGCCCGAAGTCTTCATGAAATAAGGCTGTATCCAGAAGACCCGCTGTTTGAGTCTCGCTCACTGCAGCAAGCAACACAGCACATAGACAACATGAGAGTTGGACCAGACATTAGTGGCCACCGCGCATTTTACAGATGAATCACGATTCAGCCTGGAGACTGATTATCGGCGTACTTGTGCCTGGAGAGAGCCTGGAACACGATACGATCTTTCTCGCATTGGGGAAGCGTAATTGTTTGGGAAGGCATTATGCTGAACAGCCGCATTCACCCCTGAGTTGAGCGCATTGAGGTATGGAGAAGAAATTGTGTAGTCCTATGATCAACGTTTCAGAGGAACAGTTGTAATTGGTTCCCGTTAATGGACGACGACTCTCGTCCACATAAGGCTCAGCTGGTCGACGATTACATGGAGTGAGGATATTCGCCGCATGGATTGGCCAGACAGATCTACTGATTTTAACCATGTTTGGGCATGTTTGGGGCTTTCTTGAAAGGGCAATTTCATCTCGCTGTCATTCTCCGAGAACCATCCCTGAGTTGAGAACTGCCTTGCTGCAGGACTGGGATCGACTGCCACAGGGTATCCTCAGCTGCTTCCTGTCAAATGTGCCATAACGCTGTACGACCTACTATCTGGCTGTAAGGGGGGGGTCATACTCCGTACTAGACTCATTTTCAGTTCGATAACCCAGTGAAGATTTTGGACATGCTTGCGCTATCAGCATAGCTGATAATCATCCGTAGGTATAATGACTTTTGAATGGTACATCTCTACCTCTGTTATAAATATATTTTCGTAACAAGTTTCATTAAAATATGTCCAGTAGTTCTTCAGAAATTTGACATAATGTGCAAATTCTCTTAATTTTGCACGATTGTAGAAGTGTATTTCAGAATTCCACAGGAATGAATCTCGCAACTTTGGCGAGATATCCGCCAACTTTCACTTCTTCTGTGTTCTTCCGTTTCTTTCTTAATACTGCACATTAAAAAGTGCTTATTTTTTAATTTTAGAAGGATAGTTTATTAAAGGTTTCAGGCTAACAGCGTAGCTTACGTTGCCACGTCTACTTAGGTAGAAAACTCTGTTAAATGACTTATAGTAATTACGTTGCCATAACACGATTTATTTTATAGTTTGTATAATACTTAATTTTTTAGCAAAATATAGCGCATAAATATGTAATTAAGTAAATTGGCAATGCATTGTTTGAATCTTCCCCTTAAGACCTCTGAAGATTGCGAGTTTTACTCGAGATTCCAGGTGGACCAGCTGGCTGCATGGTTGATTTTCGTGGTGTTCCCCATATGTAACATGAATACTATTACGAATATTGTATATATGAAAATAATTAGTGAAATTACATGTAAAATTGTAGTGTCTCTTGTACAATGCAACATACAATTCCTCGAGTAAGTGAAGCTAAGAAGTAAGGAAAAATAAGATTACAGGGACAAGACCATTTAATGGCTATCTCGCCGCCAAGCTATCTGTCCACCCAATAGCCTTTTGTTGCAAGCTGATGATAGTTTCAACGACAATTGTTTTTGTCCCAAATTTGGCGAAAGATTGCCAGGCATTTGGCCCGATCCCTGTATAACTGCAATTTGTCTATTTCCTACGTAACTCTACCTGCACCCGACCATATATGAACCGGTATATGCCTATGTAACTCTATATGCTTTCCAGTTGTTTCCAGAAATCGAAGGTAGTGGAAATTTCTTGGTGGCCAGGGCTTCACCTTTTAGGTGCGCTTTGCACTGAATTTTATCTAACGTTCTTAATATAGTTTGAAGTGCAATTACTGATTGTATTCTGTGATACTGAGAAGAGCTGTAAGGGTGCTTTTGTAAAACGCTTCAGAACATTCAGACCTCAGTTTTTTCGGAAAATAGATTTTACTTAGCTATCATCGATTCTGAGTGCATTCAATCTATTCCGAACTCAAAAGCATGCAACAGTACAAAAAAGTTTTCTTAGAAAGTCTTTCGCACAGATATCCCTCCATTAAGCCCTTGTGTACTTTGCCCTGTGTTTGTAACGTAAGATGTATTGCTTGCAAATAGAAAAATTATTAGAATTCTAAGGTTTCCTTTTCGAAATATGACAGCTCGATAGGAATTTATGAATAGGGTAAATCACTTTTTTAGGCAATAACATTGTTGCGTTTCTGTACGGGTTCGTTCGTGCGATTTGAAGTGATTGACGATGTCACTTAATGAAAAATGAAAGCACAATTTATTAGCCAGTATTACTCAAGACAGCTCCAAAAACACGTTTAAAGTCGTCGGAAAGCTGTGACAAACACGCTGAAACAATCAGCAAAACAGGCTTCAGGCTAACTGGGAAGACAGCTTTACAGCATAGCACCAGAGTACGGTTCCCGGCTCGGTTCGGTCGTTCTCGGAACTAAGCGTAATCTCGAGACCCTTCACGGTACAACTTGCGATGCACTTGAGGATATACTTGATAGCTTCAACGATACACATTCTCGATGCACCAACTTGCGATACACTCGACGACCAACTCGACACTTAGACTGACGATCAATTCGATAGACTCGCGATCGACTGCTATTCTGCGTACAAGCAAGGTTTACATAGCTTTTGGGCGGCTTTTGAGAACATTCTGGGCCAAACTGGGAAGAACTCATTCTAGAATGTTCTCATGTTCTCTACTCGTCTTTGGCATATCGCTAATTTTGTTGCCAAATGTCGTCAAATGGGGGATTTTGCGCCAAATCTTGCAAACCTGCCTTCCCTTGTCATTTTCTGGAAACCCCAAACTCGCCCTGCGGGGAAGCTATCTTACCGCGGCTGGGCATCCCGTAACAATATTAAAGCCCATGAGAATTATTTGCTAGAAATGTGGATATTTGAATTCTGTGCTTATGCATGACGTCTCATAGAGATCCAATAATGCACCGCAAGATAAATATTATTTCTACTTATGGTAGTCCATTGTGAATGTATTTTCTAAAGATTTTGCTTCAACTGCATTAGGTTGGCTATGGCAAAGCATTTAACATCTATCTGCCTGAAGAAAATGGTGCCTTTTTAGATTACATGTAATAGAAAATTCACGTTACACATGTGTAAAAACAAGAGAATATTCACGCTACCCATTTATTCTAAATTTGAACCCGTGGCGAACTACTAGTGTTAATTATTCTATCACTGGTGCCCTTTTGCTTTTGGTGTATAGTAAGTTTATCTCTATTTTAATCTGAATAAGTAGTAATTTGATAAAATTAGCATGTTTGGGATTTCTTTATTAAACTGAACGTGATTAATTTTTGCGTACATCTTATAAGAACATGAGCTAACAAATGTTATCCATTATTAGAAAGTACTAACACTTTCTAATAACTTTTATAACTTTCTAAGTAGTAATAATGGATTATATTACTACTTAGAAAGTACGTAATATAATCAATTATTACAACATATTTGCACATATTGTAATTCATTATTATGCATAATTAATCCGTTATTATACATAATATAATTCATTGTTAGAATAACAACATAATGCAATCAATTATTAGAGAGTGCTAATACATATAGGTTTCATCTCATTAATACTCTTGCGAGGAGAAGATCGGCAAAGGGCTTAGGAATCATATTCAAGAACCATAAAGAAATACGAGAATACATAGTTCCAGGATTATAAGAGTATTTCGGATTCACTGCCATTACTGCTTCTTCAAACTGATCGATGGTCCCTTTCAGGTCATATTTTGTGGACCACGCTGAAATATTCATTGCAACACGCTTTGCAAACTCCAAGGTATCAGCAGCCATAACTTCTTTCACTTCAAGAGCAGTTTCTTCCCATTCTTTATTTACGTAATCAAAAATCATTTCTTTATTCATAAAATTAGTACTGAAAAAAGAAAAAAGAACTTTTATTACATTGAAATATCTCGTTTAAAATTACCATTACTGACATTACAGTATACTTATTTAATATTCTTAGAAGAAAGACTTTATAGACAATATTCCGCTGTTACTTTAATGATTCAACTATTAGACAAAGGAATTAAAATACTTAAAATTACTTTATTTTTGGTTATTAAATATATTTCGTTATTATAAAGTTGTATGTGAACAAATAACAGATACAACTAGCTGAGAAAAAACATTTTATTCATCAGTAACGAGAACGATATGAGAATATTTTTATAATAAATGTAATAGAAGACAATGGCGATTGATTACCGTCTCATAAAGTTTCACGCCCACCAGCGGCTGAGTGGTAAAATGGCTGAAGACTCGTAATTCTGACCTGGATTCGATTCCAGACAAACGGACTGGCTGAATGAGGTTTTAGTGGTTTTCCCCATGTATAACGTGTATATGAACCAGTTTCCTTAGAAATTTGGCAAAAAATTGCCAAAACTTACCACGTGAAAATTAGAAAGTCCTCCACGAAGGCATCCCCCTCTTTAGGCAGATAGCCCTAGTGTGCTTTGCTATAATCAATGAAACCAAACCAAATCATAAAGTTTCCGAACCACAAATTTACGTTCCGATGTATTTTAATTTTATTATTGTAATTACTGAGTTTGAATTTAGCATTCTGCGGGTTGTTAGAATTTCGTCGAGGAACCAACATAGAATTTGAAGTATTCCGTGATGTCACAGCAACAAGATTTATGAAAATATCTCAACACACCAAAAGGCACACTCTTGTTTTAGAAGATTATAAAAATTCTGTTGCCATTCACTTCTTTCCATCAGTTAGCTATAAAGTTGCACGTATTTTGCAGAAATTTAACTTTCGGGTCGTGTATTCTCCCATCAATAACATTCCGAGTTCCATACTCAAGGACCCCATTCCGGATATGAATTCCTGGGGTATTTAGAGGATTCCTTGCCAGTGTGGCTTAATTTACATTGGCCAAACTAAGAGAGCCTTAAAATTACTTGTTAAGGCAAATGAGGCATATGTTAGAAAAAAGGAAACACAGAAGTCTTCTGTTTCTCAACATCGTTGGTCCGAAATCCCACTTTGAATTTTTCTGTTGCCAAAATTATTCAAGAAACATCTTCCATTGGTGAACTGGATTTTCTAGAAGCATTTCACATTCAAAAAAAATCTTTCTGTTCTCGTTAACGACCGTAATTCCAATCCATTTTTGCCTTCAGACTTTAAAGAAATTATGTTTTAGTTCTGGTTTTATCAACCAGATGGTGTCAGTGGCTTATGTCCTGTCCAGGCTTTCTTATTTTATCTAATCATTATATCTTATCTCGTTCATTTACGCTTTTGCAGCTGAGGATGATCGAAACTAGTCCTGTGAAAATTTTGAAAATATAATGCTGATTTTTGTTGTTTGACTTCTAAATCATATTGCATAGATCCATAAACAATAAGACGGTCGGAACGTAATCAGATTCAAGAGACTACTGCATCGGTAGTCAAATGATGGGAGTTCTAAGACACTTTTCAGTGCGTACAGAGTGTCATTCACGTTACAGGGCAGCGTGGAGCATCATCAGTGACATCACAATAGAGGGGGGGGGATTCTCCACGATATCAAGAGTGGAGATGAGTTGTTTCAGGTCTCTGATTGATATGAGAAGTAGAGTTCCTGCTGGAAACAGAATGCGCTAGGAAAAGGCAAACAAAATAATAATAATGATAATAATAATAAAAGGTCTCTTCAGGTGTTGATGAAAACTAAACTTTCTGGAAATTTTTTTGTTAGTTTATTATTCTATTTAATTTTATCTTGACACTTTAATAATATCTAGTTTCCCATTTACTTTTAACTTATTTCTTATATTTTCTACTCATAATAATACATTTATTTGCTGCAAATTTTAATATTTAACTTTTCTAAATTGCAATATTTTATTTTATATTACATAGAAGTTTTTTCATACTTTTTGTAATTTTCAGTATACTCTGAATTTAAACTCACTTGTTACATTTTACAAAAACAGTTGTCCACATACCCGCTGTTTATCTATTATATTACTTTATATTCCATTCCTTTAATTTCTTTCGTACTATTTTTTTTATTTTTTTATTTTTTTAATTTGGAAAATTTCAACATACTCTGAATTTCAACTTATTTCTTACATTCTACCATCGTGTATATATAAGCGTTACTTTTTATAACATTTACTTGACTAGTAAAATAAATTTAATGATAATTGTAACTATTTTGATATTTTTTAACCTTTCCAGTTCTTTATAAACTCTTTAATTTAAAATTTTGTGATATATTCTGTTTATAAAGAAACATTTATTTTTCATAATCTTAGCAGTTTTACTTAATATCATGTAGAGTTTCTGATTTCTTTCTCATGTTAATAATACTTCTCTTACACTATCCAATATTTTTAAAATTAAGAAATTCAAGTCTATAATTCTTCATTTCTTTTCTTATGTTATTCATTTCATCATTTTTTCTTAGTTTATATTTCATAGTTCTCGTTCAATTCATTTGTTGTACTGTTTTCATTTACCATAGTCTCACTATACATAAATCAAATATTTTCCTCCATTTTAGCCACTAATACAATTATTTTAATATTTTCAATTATTATAGTTTCCTGCGTATCCAGACGTTTCTTTATAATTTTTAGTATACTTGTTATATTCTCCGATTATAATTAATCATCTGCGTGATTTTATTTGATATAACTTTACGCACAAGTTTCCTTCCACAGCTTTAACGATAGAATTTAATATAATTTACATATAAATGCATGTTTTTAAATACTTTAGATAAAGAGCAATATGTACTTTCGAGCCTTGAAAACGAACTTTTAAATGAACTTGACATATTCTCGCTGTTTATTTTTTACAATGAAATTACAGCTTTCATTCGTAATTTCAGAACCATATTAATGTTTCATCAACTGATGCTAAAATTTTTCTTCCCGCTTCTAACAATTAATACCTATTAAATCAGTATTTTACGTTAATTTATCGGATTCATACCGTTGCTTTTACATTTTAGGTGCACTAACTGGGGTAATTTTACCTTATTGTATGCTTCACGTGCTAAATGATCAAAAGTTTCCGGAAAAAAATTCTTTCTTTATATTACGTAGATGACGCTTCCAGTGATGCAATTATAAATAAGAATGCAGATGGTGCTCATAAAAATCCATCAAGTTGCCTATTGACACTGAGAAAAACTGTGTTATTAACGACTACAATAGCACATGTTTGTAAATAATTCAAAAGGAAAGAGAATTCCAATTCGCGCTATTATTGATAACAACAGCATATCCATGGATGGCAACTCTCACTTTCAAATGTCGCTAGATAACCCGAAAAAGTAGCTAAAAAATCGCTAAATTCAGAAGGAATTTTGCTAAAAGTAATAGCTAAAATTTAAAAAAAAAGTATAATCCATATTCCATAATAGGTTTTGTTACTCGTCATTTTTTAAACTGAATCTTCATAAAAATATAAATAATGTCCCAAGTTTTCTGCGGAGCATCAAAAAGTTTTCACGGACGGCGGACTACCGGTTGGCGACCGTTGGTCTAAAGAGTACCTGTGCCAACTACACAAGCGCAACAAATGGAGCCAGCCTAGCAGAAATATTCGTCTAAATGACTTGGTACTCGTTAAAGAATGTAATATGCCTTCACTACGTTAGACACTGAGGCTAGTAACAGAAGTGCTTCCTGGAAGAGATAATAATGTCCGAGTGGTAAGACTAAAAAGAGCTGAATACTCGTATATAGGTCTAAGAGGAAATTTTTGAAAATAATCAATGTTTATCTCAGGAAAGAGCAATGCATTATAAGTGGAAAATAAATTTGTATTATATGATTCAATACGAAAATGTTAAATTGTTAACATGTAACATTTATGAGGGCTACGATGAATGCGAGTACTGCAATTACAGTTTAATAAATGCGTATGCCACAAATATTTTATCAAACTCCATTTTCGGTATGTTAGTGTATAAGTACGATAGCTATATGTACACATACACATACACACACATATATGTGTGGGAATCATCAACGCCCGATGCTGAATTAGAATACCAGCTGACGTCATCAGCATAGCTCAGCGCGAATCATTCCAGACAGAGTCAGATAGCTTCCAGACGTGGATGTGAGCAGACGGCTCACTCGTCTTCAAGAGTTGAAGAAGACAAACGGTCTTCTTTTGATTTTTCACCTTTAGCTGTTATGACTTTAGATGATCATACTATTTAAAAACTAGCTGGGAACTAATATATTCTATCAACGCCGGAGGAACTCTGTGTGAAAGGACAGTCTGTGATTGTGCATCATTACATGAATCATTCAACATCTAATCTTTACTTAGTTTATCTTTATTAATTTTATTTCTTATCGTTAAATAAAAGCATATTTAAAAATGCTACGATGCTGCTCTCAAGCTCTGATTTAAAGGAAAACCTTACACAACATTGCGACCAACCGTGCGGCCTCGAACTCGAAAGTGTGCGAGTGACATTACGAACTGTGCTTTGAACTGATTGAGTGAACTGTTCTCACAAGTTATTCGATTTATTGGATTACCGTTTAAGTGCCTGGATTACCCTTATTGACGACGATCATCTGTCGGGTAAGTACAAAACTTTCTTTCCAATATGAAGTTAGTAGAAATTCCAGAATTGGAAGCAGCTTTAAAGAACAGCAAAAGTTCTGAAATCAAAAGTTTGCATAAGCTTATTTTTAATACTGATGGAGATCGAAATAACCGGAAAAGATTACGTGAATTTTCTGGCTTTGTATTTAAACCAGGTTCTGAAGAATATAATAAGAAAATAGATAGAGTGCAGAATAGTTTTACTTTGAATGAGTTAATTAAAGTTTGCAATGTATTGTTCATAAATTCAGAAGGTTTAAAAACGGAAGTCGTAACCCGAATTGTCTCTT